GATGAGAGAGAGAGAGAGAGAGAGAGAGAGAGAGAGAGAGCGAGGAAAAGAGGAGGAGAGAAAGGAATAAAGACCAAGGGTTTGGATTATTTGAAAAGGAAGAATTGCTTCCAGCTTGCGCTGTGGTGGAAGCGTGGTTTTAACCTGCAACCGGCGAATCAGGTTGCGATGCATTATTAAAATAATAAATATATAAAATAAAAATAAAATTATAGCCGTTAAATTGCTGGAAGACTAGTACCCATTGCCTCGACTAATGATACCTTGAAAGGCCACAACTTTGGGCCATTTTGGGCTTAAGGTCGAGTATAGCAGTGACATCAAGATCGGATTTTTCATTTGAGAAAATTACTCAACGACCGAACATATATAAAAATAATTGCACAAACAATAGTATAATATTTTATTTTATTAGCAAAAGTGTAAAAATTAACAAAATATTTTCACATCTTCAAAATATACACATTTAATATTACCCTTTTATGTTTCGACAGTTGAAAGTCTCATGTATGCTATGTTGTGTACTAGGCCGGATATTAGCTACGTCGTTGGCTTGGTACCTCGATATCAAAGTGATTTGGAACGGGAACATTGGTCTACGGTGAAGCATATACTCAAGTACCTGAGAAGGACTAAGGAGTACATGTTAGTTTACTGTGCAGACAACTTGTTACCTCTAGGTTACAGTGATTCTGATTTCCAGTCAGATAGGGATGAAAGTAAGTCAACCTCTGGTTAGGTGTTTACCTTAGGAGGTGGAGCCATTTCATGGAGGAGTGCTAAGCAGAAATGCGTGGCAGACTCCACCATTGAAGTCGAGTACATAGCAGCCTCAGAGGCAGCAAAAGAGGCAGTTTGGCTCAGAAACTTCTTAGTGGACTTAGAAGTGATTCTGAGTTTGCCACGTGGTATCACCGTGTACTGTGATAACAGTGGAGCAGTAGCAAACTCAAGGGAACCACGAGCCCACAGAACAAGCAAACACATAGAGCGCAAGTATCATCTGATTCAAGAGATAGTTGGTAGAGGTGAC